ATATGAAAAACTTATAAATCTTGCATTAAATTCCTTCAAGCAGTCTATCGGCAGTTATTCTATTGGAGAAACCTTCTCTACATTGATAAAAATTGTGTTTGGTAAGCATTTTATCCTTAATTACCTTAAACGATCTAGGGTGATCAAAGTTCCTATTTAAGATCCACCGATGATCTCGAAAGTCTATTCATTATACATAACATTCTATATTGCTAATGCAAAAATGTTTTTATGTTGCTTGTGACAAGTATATTAACTTATTACCATCCTAGTATCCTCAACTCGTTTACTAGGATAGGGCTTGCTATTTCGCTTTAAGCTTTCTAGATTTGCTATTGCCTTGGCATAGTGGTTAATTAAAACAATCTTAAAGAGAAAACGTGAAAAATAATGATAACACCACATCAGCATTTTTCCTAGATAATATTTGATAAAATAACTTTGAATCTTGTCAAATAGAATAAATAAACTGAGATGTCACACTTAGTGGTTGAGTTCATTTTTTCATAACGATTTTTATTTATTTTAGCTGTATTATATTCATTAAAAAGTTTCCTGCCCTCTGCTTTATGTGAAAAGTGCGTCTTATGCTTTTAAGGTATAATTAGCTACTTAAAATGAATAAGATTGGTCAGCAAGTCTGGAATTTTCATCCTTCCATTTCAGGCTGTAGCCATTAGACTATATGATCCCTTCTCTGTAATCTGCTTAGTCTTATCCTTCAAATGGTGAAGTTACGTGATATCCTACTTGTATCTCCATCTACTTCTACAATCCCTTTAATATTGCCTTATCTTAATTTGAGGTTGATATATTTAAATTAAAAAGAAGAGCTTTATTAAACGCTTTATTCATCATACTTTCTTTTGTTCTTCTGATACATGATCTGGTGATTGTTTCAAATTCACTTACTCTCCTTCATCTATATTTTGCTGATTGTCTTGATTAAGCAGCAATGCTATGCCAAAATTGCCACTACTAGCTTACTTAATCAAAAGTTTTTATTTCAAGAATACTTCTTTCATATCGAAATTAATGCCTATGTGGTTTATCTGTCATTTTAATGGGCTATTTAGCTTTAGGATACTCCGTTTGAGCGAAGTGTAATGATGCGACGGCGTAATTAATAATTGGTTCTACAGAGTACCGATGCGAATGAGTAGATCTTTAGCTTCATGCCAGACATAAGTAAACAATAAAATCGAAAGCCAGATTAAGTAATATGCGGAGTAAGAAAGGTATATTCCGAAATATTAATGTACAAGGTGTACATTTCATGCTGCTCCGGAAAGGTTGGAGCGAGAATGGAGGGGACGATGTTGAGTTAGCGTATAATTCCTAGTAGAGAAAAAAGCTTGTTGGAACTCAGTACTATAGCTATTTGGAGAGTAGCATCAGGATTTTTCTCGACAAACCGATTGATGCTGGACAGTGTGGTAGTGTAGGGTTGTGAAGCACAAAGACAGATTATTGGACATAGTCAAAAGTAGTTCTCAACGGACCTACTTTTGATGATATTGGCTAACTCTTTTTGAATACTATTCGCACACTGCAGCTACTTATGAACTATTATTCACTTGAATGAAATTTATTTTGCTTAAAACTTTTCATTGATTTTATCTAGGTACGTTTCCCGAGGTCTTCTCCTCATTTGACTGTGAGCCAGAGGAGGCTCTGAAAAGGATTGACAATCTGAAAGAAATGCCTTCTACTCCTTATTGTCTCGATAACCAACGGGATCCTGTATACTCGGCCATTCCTTATGCCGATGACTCTCATCTAGATGTCCCTTTGACTCCCATTCGTTGCCCTGAGAACCATGCGAAATATTCTATAGATGCATATCCTAGTTTTAAAAATCGTAAGTTGCTGGTCGAAATATTCCATTCCTCCAACTTGACGCTGCTTATCTAGTCAATTGATTTACTTAGCGGCTTCATTATAACCATATTCTACATACTGACTTGATATATTTTGATACCTTTACTATCAGTTCCAGAATCTTCTGAAGTCTTATGCATCCATGACATGCAAAAGGTATGAAACAAATTTTTCATATTTTTGTTTGGAGATGAACTCTCCTTTATCAGTGAAGTTTATATATTTTTTCTTGTATGCAGGATTCAAATGAACTCGATTATTGCTCAGATGACTTCTCTCCAATTAGGTTATTCCCTAATGCAAATCGATCTTACCCAAGGTGAGTAGCCACATAAGGCTCATCACTTTCAGTTTCAATAAAATAAGTAATACCTATAATTGATACATTTTGTTTCATTTAGTCTTGCATGTGACTTTGAACAGCTCACTTTGCAGTCCAAACATGCCAACGTGGATAGGAAAACAATAAGCTCTCCTGAAGATTACTTCTCTTTCTACAATTCGAGCCTCAAACATCATCCACTAACGTCCCGGGATTCATCTTCCGAACCGTCTTTGTCTATTCCGAGAGATCGTGATACAGTGCCCGGAAAATCCACTGATAAGGAAGAGGCTATGCCTGTCGAAGCCATCCCACTTCAGTCTGAGTTCTCTAACGCATCTTTTACCGTTCATCGTTGGCTAGATGAACATGGATTTCTAACAACTCTCAGTCCGCAGCGCTCATTGCCAGACACTACATGGGACAACGGTGACACAAATTCAATTCGGCGTTCGTCTGGTGGTCGTTTACCCCTATCCGGCTTGCAGGAGACTCTCTCGCCTCATTATTTCGAGTCCACACTTCTATCTAAGGCTCCGTCTTCATCAGCTATCTCATCTAATTTGACGCACTTGCCTCCTGGCCAAGCGAATGTAGAAAATATGCCACCAAGCGAATCTAAGATGGCCCTGCAGTCGGATGAAGTAATCTCTGATACTTCTCTCTTTGCCTCACGTCCTACAGCTCCACCCGGTTACCTATTCTCTCCTCCCACTTCAACCGATACAGTCTCCTTGATCCAGGCTCCCATACTATCTGCAGATTGGGCTTTAGCTGTGCAGCTATTGCTATTGCTATTAGAGCCATCGCATCGACTGCGTCTACAGATCTTAGAAAAGTACTTTAGAGGGATAGATGAAGCCTGTCGGCGAGGCCACCGAGACGGCTCTATTCAGGTGCAGTAAGATTCTTTATCAAATTGCGATTAAGCTAGGCGTATTTTTGAGTAGTTTTTCGTCTCATAATGACAACCACCCCATCAAACCTGTTATTATTCTGCACGATTTTACTGTAACTCAACTTCGTTTGAAATAGGAAACTGTTTGATGTTGGAGCCTTAAGTCAACTATGTACACGAACCTCTCGAACGAAACAGTTTCGAAAAATGGGCTTCGAATAATCCCTTAACAGAGTGATGTTGGAATATATTTCATTTCGTTTGAAGAAGTGAGTAGAAGGGATTCGTAAGTTGGTTCCACCGGAAGCTATGGGAGGATTGCCTTAAAGCTGTGATTGTAGATTTTTGTGAATAGGTCCTCGGCGCACCGCTCTGCGACCCCGATGAATCCTTGTTGAGCTCTCGTCCGTCATTTGATGGACATCCTCAGAGCAGATCAGCATGCTTAGGAATAATTCGCCAAAACGCGAAGGCAAGAAAGGTGGCCGGCCTCACACCTAACTACTTCTTATAGTCCAATTTGGTCCACTTAGGCATCCCATTTTGGTTGGATATCCTATGCTTTGCCCAAATGTTTGTTCAAAAGTTAAGTGGCTACAGAGGAAGAGTGAAATTGTGACCGAAAAGCTGCATCCTCTCCTAAAACACTTATGCCTTTGATCCTGCAATGTTACCGCATGTAATTGCGCGTGTGTTGTGTGGATGCATCACTTGAAATGAGTATGATGTGAGAATCAAAATCAGCATCGATCCTAACCAAGTTTCCAATTCTTGCTCTCTCTCTATCCTATCCAAAAGCCATAAGTAATATGAGATGTATTCACCCTATTTCGTTAAGATGATTACGGACTGGCGGTAGAATTTTCTTACAATGATATCAGTAGAGCTGACGTTTCCATTGAATTTCTCATTGCCTTGCCTACCCAAAGTTGTTCTCATCCAGGATGGACTGCAGTTTCGACCTCGCATTGGTCTTATCAACACCCTCAGCAGGAGTCGAACCGTGACTGCAGAATGTGAGCTTGACACGTTAACCAATCGGCGACATTGCCATAAGTAGTTCCTGCTTAACCTCCTACACTCATTCCTTCTATTCAGGATGTTGGCTGTTTTGTTGATTTCTATCGCCTCCCTAATATTTTGATTACTCGTATAGTCCCCATATCCAGCTAAGCGTTTGGCATTAGGCCAATCTATCTGGTGTCCTGATCGAGCCATGTGTTCAGCCAATTCTGATTTTTGGACTCCTCAATCTCTGTAGGCTGTTTTGTGCTCGGATAACCTCTTATGTATGTGCCTACAGGTCTCCCTTACATAGGTGCGACCACATGAAGACAGTCTTGTAACAGCCCGATCTGGAGAGCTTATCAGAGTATTCTAGAAAAGAAAGCAATTCCGAGGAGTGTTATTTTCTCTTTATAAATGCTCCTGATGTCCCACATATCTTCCAT